GTTCTATTGACTGTGGTGACTGGAGGAATTCTCTTCATTCTGAATTGAGTAGGGATGTTTCTGTCATATTTTTCTTCGTTCAGGGCCCTTCTTCTCCCCAGTGGTCTGATCATCTCATTGAGGCTGTGGGTAGGGGTGGGCACACTGCAGCCCTGGTGTCCACTCACAGTGATCAGCGAGATTGCAGCTCACAGAGCCCTGGCCAGGTGCCGGGCCCATGCTGTCCCCTGGACAGTCTCAGTGGCCATGATTGTCCACGTTTTTACAGAAATGAACGTGAATGCGTGTGGCGGTCAGGACCCTGGGGGGTCCACCTGGCCACCCCGGTGCCAGCGCACTCCAGAAACGGCCTGCACCAAGGCCTGGGGGCACGGCCTCCTTCAGCCAGGGTCCCCTGGGGAAGCAGGGGAGGCCACAGATGTGTGCAGAGGTGTGGCCAGAGGGTAAGTTCCACCCTGGCGTGGCCTGCCGCAGACTGCCCACCCGCCCAGCACCCCAGCCATGCGCTGTTGCGAGAACACTCACAGACCCTCGCTCTCCTGGGTGCTTTTCTCAAAGGCTCGGTCCCTTGGGATCCCAGGAGTGAGCAGAGACGACTGTGCTGCCTGCACATTGCGGACACACAGCCCCTCTTGGCCTTAACATTCCTCAAGCTGATGCTGTGTTCCAGGCTCTGAGGAGCTGACGTGGTCCCGATGGGACCCATCCAGGCCCATCCAGTCCTTTGCTCACCACTGGCCAGGCTGCTCGGCCCCACGGGGGTGTCCTCTGGGCTTACTGGTCCCTAACTGTTGGAGGTACAGGGGGAGGAGAGGGTGAGGCCGTGTTGTCCATAAGTGGACCTTGGAGAAGAGATGTGTGATTTGAAGTGGGCTTGAAGGCACATGCTCCCTCGGCCCCATCCTGAAACCCCCTGGATGGGGCACAAATGACCAGGTGACAGACAGTGGGGAGGCACCTGGAAGAGCAGAAGGCCAGGGGGACCTGACTTGACAGGCCATGGAAGGCCGTGTGCAGAGCCGGCTGTGTGCGGAGTTGGCCGTGGGGCTGAAGATGGAGCATCCGTGTGGCTCCTAGACCCGCAGCACCACCTTCCCCTGGGGAAGAGGGCCCACCTGTGGGACAGGCAGGCATCACAGAGGCCCCCTGGATGGCTGTCCACAGGGTGCTGAGCAGGCCTCACTGGAGGAGCGAGTGACCTTCACCTTGCTCCAGGTCCTTTCCTGGCTAGGCTCCTGCCACTGGCCACTGGGCTGGCTCATTATAGTTGGAGGTTGGAGGCGCCTCTGTGGACGGCGAGCCCAGGGAAGGTCCCAGCCTTCACCCCGGAGTGAAGAACAGTCAGAAAGTTCCTGGCGCCAGCATCCCAGTCACATGAGACCAGAGGGGCTGAAGCCACCAGGGAGATCAGGGCTCCAACTGAGGGGCCAGTGCCTGCAGATCAGGAGGCCCACCGAGTGTCTAGCACGGTGGATGAGGACAGCTCCAAACTGGGGCAAAGATCCTCAGGCTTCCAGGAGGAAGAGGGGCCACCAGAGATCAAGCATGGCATCACCCTCGAAGGACAGGGAAAGCCAGGACATGGGAGAGCAGAGTCTCCAAGGCTCTGAAAGGAAGCATTTCCAAAAGTTCTGTGCCCAACTCTTATGGGCCGAATTGTGTCCCCCACATTCCCATGTTGACGCCCTAACCTCCAGCACCCCAGAGTGTGACTGTCTTTGAAGAGTCTATTAAAATAAGGCCACTGAGGTGGGCCCTGTCCCATCTGACTGGTGCCATTCTAAGCAGAGAATATGTGGACATGCAGGAAAGGCCATGGAGGACTCAGCAAGAGGCGGTTACCTGCAGGCCAAGGAGAGGGGCCTTGGGAGATGCCACAGTGCTGGCACCTGGTCCTGGGACTCCACGCCGCTGGACTGTGAGAAGATGGACTTCTGCTATTTGAATTCCGAGCCTGTGGTGTCTTGTTACTGCCACCCCAGCAATCTGACTCCCACCACCCTGCAGTGACACCAGAGGAGAGTGGGGTTCCCAGTTACATAGGAGCCAAGACAAGGTAGTAGTCCTCATGCTCCTGTTTTCAGGAGGCCACAAGGACACACCCCACCCAAACAAAGGAATGAGGTAGAACCAAGAAAGCCTTAGACCCAGAATTTGGAGATCCTCATACAACATGCAGCCTGGGACAGTGGCCAGTCAAGGCGGCAGCTCAAAGGCCCCAGAAGACGTGCCTCCCTTGCCCAGATGACATCGGCGGCTGCGACTGAATGCGTGGAAGAGGGGCCGGGCACCATGTCCACAGTGGGCAGAAGAGGGCTCTATCAGAGCAGAAGGCTGTGTGGCTCAGCTGTGACTTGTCTTTATGTGGTAGAGACCACAGCGACCCCGTGCAGATCCTGCCAGAAACACCAGCCGCACTTGGTGGTGGGAACGGTGCCAGGGTGTGGGCTGGAGAGCTTGGAATCCCCTGCCAGAGACAATGCCTCTGCCTGACCAGTGACGTTGCTCCTGAGAAGATGCCTGCTGTCTCCCAGAGCTCATAAGACAAGCCGCCTTCCTGCCAGTGGCTAGTGAGGGCCATTGAGTCAACATTTGTAAAAAGCCTTAAGAACACCTGCATCCTTTCCCCAAGGAATTCAACTTATAGGAAAAATCAGAGTTGTGTGTGGGGACATTAAACTGCTCACCAGGGCAACTAAAATACTGCAGACCTGGAGGTCACCTCTGGCAGGAGAAGGACTGCCTCTCTGCAGCCTTCGGAGGGTCCTGGTGGGAAGTGCATTGCCCTGACACTTGAAAATAGTTTTAATAAGTGTATACAGAAAAGTGACTGGAAATGTTATTTTGGGGTGGTTTTTCTTTGGGGGGGGTGTTGTGTATTTTTTACATTGAAAATATGATGCCCCTGCAGAAGGGTGTACGTTCGCCCTGGGAGTCAAGGCTGATGGACGCAGAGTTGTGAGTCCGTGGTTTGGTTTTCAGTTCAGTAGACCACAGTTTGTGTTTCTATTTAGACATTTCTTATGAAGAATGTGGGAGTGAGGAAAGTGGGTGGATGGCACGTGAGTCAACAGAAGAAAGTGTTTTTCATTAAACCTCCAAGGAGTTTCTGAAAACAATGGTTTTCTTTTCATGCCCAGGATGAAGCTGGAGGCAGGTTCGTTGCTTTCTCCGGAGAAGGACAGTCGTTGCGGAAAAAGGGAAGAAAGCCTTAAGTTGGGGCTGTTGGCTGATTAGAGAATAAAATAATTGCAGCATGATGGCTTTTAGTTACTGCCTTTGATGGGGATGCTCCGTCACTTTAGGTGTGTTTAGAGTGACCTAAGAATTACCGGGTTTGACCGGAACGTGGACCAGCAGGACTTGCAGCCAGTGTCTGATTTGGGGAGAGAAGCAGCCTCTGAGGTCCCACAGCCTCTTGCTTTCAGGCCCTCAGGACACGCCCACTGCTGAAGCAGTTTCCTAATTCCTGCCCAGAACCTGCGAAGGGAATTGAATTACTCTAACTTGTGGTGTTTTCTCTTTTTTCATATATCCTTTCTTTTCCCAGGTCATAGTTTAGCATTTGCCTTTGGCCTAGAAAAAAGTGGTTTAAACAGATAAGTGCTCCATAAGCAGTGGTTATCCCATTACTCTGGCTACAGTTTATTTGAGGAAGGGTGTTTCTGTTTTTATTTTACATGTTGATTTTTTTTCCCCTAAAAAGTCATTCCTCAGCAGGAAAACCTGACCTGAAAACATTTCCAATTTTTTTTCAATTTCATATAGAAATGACTGGCCCCTTAATCAATCTGTTCTTCTGTAAAACAACTTCATGGTGAAGCACAAATGTAACCATTAGAATAAATGAAAGCTAAAGCTCTCTTCTTTCCCCTTCCCTACCCCCCATTCCCAGTGTTAATGTATCCAAAGTTCTGCTGGCCTGCCTTTATTTTTTAACTAGGGTTAATTTAGCCTCAGATTTTCACTTTCTATAATATGACATGTTAATTCAATTTCTAATATCTCTTCTTTCTTGAAAATAATTATGATTCAAGAATTTCAAATAAAAACAGGCAGTGACTAAAACCTGAATTGCCTCCAAATGTCTGATAAAATGCCAACAGGGATTGACACTTGGGCCACTGACCCAACCAGAGGAAGGCCTGCTTGCAGGAACCCTCATTGCATCTGCCCTTAGAAAGGGCTCTGGGGGGCTTCTCCCAGACAGTGTAGGGGGAAACAAGGCTCTTGACCCCTGGGGAGGGGGTGGTCGGGCCCAGCAGGGTTTCCTCTTGTTCGTGATAGTAGGCCAAGGGGTCTGTCCGTCTTTGGATAGGGCTCCCCTCACTCAGGAGAGGGCGTCCCCATGCAGGATGCGTCCCCAGGGTTCACCCACGAGTCCTCAGAGTGAGCATCAAAGGTCATCCTGATGGCCAGGGCTGAACCCCGTGGCCCACGCCCACACCACTGGCTGTGGGTGTGACTCTGGAAGGCATGAGCACGGCTGGGACCTACAGACCCTCCATTCAATGGGTCCTGGGGTCGCCGGCAGAGGTGGGAGCCCTCCTGGGTGGGCAAGCCGTCTCTGTCCGCGGGATCACGTGGGCTACCGTGTCGTTCTGTGCTCGAGTGTCACGTGGGACTCTGGCCCTGGGTTCTCTGCCCTGAGCGGCACCTGCTGTGTCTACAGGGAAACCACTCCTTGTCGGTTCCTGGAGGCGCACTCCCTGCTTGGACCAGGGATGGCCCCGCTGCTGGGTCTGGTGACAATGGGGTTGCCTGGAGCAGAAGGCCTGGTAAGGCTGCTGCAAAGAACCTGCCTGAACCGCGTGGTTCCGTCAGAAACGGCCACTGGACGTGAACGTGTAGCGGAATGCCAGGTGGCCGGAGCGGACGGCTGCGGTCTACACAGCCACGCAGCGTGGTCTGCCTTTCGGACCCTGGGGCGCGCCCCGCCCACACCGCCCCGGCCCCGCCCTTCCTCGGCTGTTACTGGCTGCCAACCCGGACGTCCTATTCACTGGCGCGTCTCGAGGAGGAGGGCGAGGATGTAGTGATGACATCTCAGAGTTCATTGGTTCCTCTACCCATCAATCACGAGGTGGCCGGCGGGTCGGGCAGCAGCTCAGACATGGCCGACGGCGGTGGCTGGCGGGTGAGCCCGGGGCCCACGGGACGGGCGATAACTCGGTCCAGGCTGAGCGAGGCTAGCGGGTGGTGACCGGGTCCGGGCGAGCGGGGTGGGCGGGCTCCGGGTCGCCTGCTCACGCCTGGTCCCTGCAGCCGCCGCGCCCGTGCGAGGCCTACCGCGCGGAGTGGGAGCTCTGCTGCAGCGCCGGGCACTTCCTGCGCCACTACTACGTCCACGGAGAGCGGCCGGCCTGCGGGCAGTGGCGGCGGGACCTGGCCAGCTGCCGCGAGTGGGAGGAGCGCCGCAGCGCCGAGGCCCAGGTGAGGCCCAGTTGAGGCCCAGGGGACTGGCCTGCAGGGGTTGGTTCTGCCGAGCCCGGGAAGCTGCCCGAGTAGCATCACCCAGCCCCGGGCCCGACGCCGGGACAGAGACGGCCCACCGCTGAGGGCAGGGGGCGGCTGCAGAGGGGTCGGGGTGAGGGTAGTCCCGGCAGGCCTTAAAAAAGGAGTTAGGTTCAGGCCTTCACGTGTGTTGGGAAGCGTGCTTGCCGCCAGGGCGGGATACCAGTCAGGAGATGGTTCTGGTCCATTCGTTTACTAGATACCGCTTGGGAAGGATGCTCTTGGGGATACAGGAGTGATGAGAACAAAGCCCTGTGCTCCTGGCTCCTTCATCCTAGTCCAGGGCACAGTGAGGCCTTGGAGCTGTTGGAGAGGGGAAGCAGTGAGGGGTTGTTTTCACGGGACGGGGCAGCAGGACTGGTATGTTTGAGAGAGAACGGTAAGTCCGTGATAAATGGAAAATCGGGAAGATGGTTTGCAGCCTATATGGGAAGAGATTAGTAATTTATGTGTGTGTGCGCGCGCGCGCTGACTCAGAGCGCTCCCTGCGCTGGCCAGGGGTGGGCGGGTGCCTGGAGGAGGGAGCTGTCCGGGGGCACATGGGGACAAAAGTGACCGGGTCTCCTTTGCAGCGGTCCCTCTGTGAGAGCGAGCGGGCAAGAGTCCGGGCCGCACAGAAGCATGGCCTGGTGTGGACCCCCAGGCAGAGCCCCCCTGCAGACTGGCACCTCCCTCTGCCTCAGGACAAGGACAGCTGACCAGCGCTCTGTATGTCTCACACCCCTACCGCTGTGATTGACCTCAACCATCCAGTGGGTCCCTGAGAGCCCCGCCTCTGGCCTTACCTGCTGCCGCACCTGAACCGGTGCACCCAGTGCACATCTTCCAGGCCACAGGCAGCACTGCCGATCCTGCGGGAGGTGGTCAGGCTGGCTGTGCTCCCCTGGGGATCGTCCCCCACCCCAGGGGCTGCGTTCTGGGGGGCAGGAGGGGAGAGGATGGGCTACCAGGGCTCCACCTGGGCCCTCCTTGCTCTGGACCTCGTGGGTGAACTCTCCAGAGGTATCCCTGACCCATGTGGACATGCGAGGAGCAAAATAAGGTGGCCAGGTAGCCTCGCCTGGCTCTGGTTCGGTGCCGGCCCCGCTGAGGCCCCTCCCTCAGCCCCTCAGCAGCACAGGTGGGCCCCCCAGGGCCTTTTGGAGATGCTCATGGCTCCAGGATGGGATGCACACCCTTGTGTGAATTGGGTTTGTGAACTTTGGTCTTCAGCCCAGGACACATGGAATGTGGGTCTTCTTCCCTCCTCCTTTCCCTGGTCACTTTTAGAAAACGTGGAGTATATCAAAGGACATTTCACTCGTTTGAGTCCAGGTAGAAGCTGAAAATTAAATCCAGGTTAACTGCTGAGATTGTTCGATGTGGTACCTGGCCTCATGCTCATGCAGGAAGAGAGTTCTGCGTGCTTGTGTTCCTGTTGGTGTTTGTGAAATAGATGCAGGTGAACTGACAGAGGTGCCTCTGTTACTGACAAGAGCCCCTCCCTCACGCCACAGCCCCAGCCCAGCCACAGGGTAATCTGTCACTTCAGAGGGGTGTGCATTAAAGAACAAATTGTCCTGTCATGTGGCTTCTCTACCAGGTGCCTTAGAGCCCTCTGACTGCTTATGTACCTGGGAGTAGTGGGGGCTGTGCACGTGGGGCCCTGGTCATCTGCCCTGTGTGTCCACCTGAGTGTGCGGAGGGGAGCCAGGGTCCCCCACCCCAGGGGCTGTGTGCCGGAGGGCAGGAGGGGAGAGGGTGGGCTGCCAGGGCTCCGCCTGGGCCCTACTTGCTCTGAAGCCCCGGCAGGGACACAGGAGCCTCGCAGTCGCACATGTGCCTGGAATCGCAGCAGCTCCTCACTGCTTCCTGGCACAGGGCTGGGCAACAGGAGGTGCCGGAGCGGCAGCCAGGGCAACAGTCTTGAGGGGCACCCCTCGCAGAGCCCCTGCCAGGCGAGGGCCGCGGGCTGCCAGCACCCAACGCCCCGTTAGAAGTCCTGTTCCTTCTTGGATACCCAGTGGGTTCCACACCACTGATGACCGTCATTCTGGAGAATATTCCCACACCCTCTCCTGTCCACCCCTGGTGTCTGCACCCATGACAGGACCAGAGAGTCCAGCAGAGTTGAGGGAACAGATGTGAACATTCAAACATCAGCTGTGAGGAAAATGGACAGAGTGACAAGGAAGAGCAAATTCTTTCAGACTCTTGGGACCAAGCCCGTGATAACGAGTGTTTTACGTTGTGACCTGGTGTGTCCTGTGACATACTGCACGTGTCACTGGAACGGGTGTCCCAGCACTGCACTGGCCTGCGCCGTGGGGAGCCGGCAGCTTGGGTCTGCTGCACGTGCCACCCCTCAGAGCCACATTCAGGATCCACAGGGTCACACATGTGGTTCCATTACATAATACCATGAAATGATACAGAGATGGGAAGGCTGTGGGGTCAAGGGTCAGGGCTGGGAGATGTCCTGAGGTGCCTGGACCTTGGGGTAGTTGTATGGGACCACACTGGGATAAGACAGACGCGGGCCGCCACGGCCAGGAGTCTGAACACACGGTGTATAAGATGTGATACTGGGGGAGCCACACGCCGACCGCCCTGTGTGGTAATATGTAATCTCCTGTTGGAAACTTGTAATTACTCCTAAATAAAAGGTTAAAATGAAACAGCTGGCCATGACCCGCTGAGTTGATTGTACACCTAATGGACAAAATCTGACTTTCCAAAGCACCTGTGATGGGCAGGGAGGTGGGGGAGGCGCAGCGTCGGCCCAGACCAGGAGGCAGTTGCAGCCCACCAAGGCAAAGAAAGGGCCACACAGGACACGAGGAACAAGTGCCCGTGCCCAGGGGATGGGGGGCAGCGCCAAGCTGCAATTCTTGGGGTGGCAGGCCAGCTGGCCAGCTGGCCTGCGGCTGCAGAAGAGGCAAGGCTGCAGGACTCAGGATCCCAGGTGACTTCCTGATCCAGTAAAAGCGCTTGTCTGGTGCTTAAACCAAAGTGGACCCCACGCAGGGAGCAGGGACAGGGGCCTGTTTCCCTGGTTGGTTTGCACTCAGGTGGTAAAGGGGCCCTGATGCAGACATGGCTCCCTGCTGATCCCGGACCCTCCCCTTGAGGCTGCATCACATCCCCGCCTCCTTCCTAGATGCACTGGCCAACACCCTCGCAGCTTGGGGGGACTCTACATGGAGTCGGGGTACTTAGATGTCATTAGGTTAAAATGAGGCCTTTGAGGGGATAGGATCCAATCTGACTGGGGCCCCTGCAAGAAGAGATGCAAGACACACACACACAGACGGATGAACACGTGGGGACACGGGGAGAGGCCTCAGGAGGAAACAGCCCTGCAAAAGCCTGGCTCTTGGATATCCAGCCTCCAGAGAAACGCTTTCCTGTTTAAGCCCGGAGTCCGCAGTGTTTTGTTCAGTAGGCCAGAGCTCACCGCTCCAGGCGCACAGCACCTGGACGAGACAAGAGTACCCTCGGCTGGCCAGGTATCGCACCCTGGAGCACAGGGCAGCTGTAACTGGAGCCCTGGAGGGCCTGCTGCCTCCTCTTCTGTCTAGCAACCCCCACCCCCCCAAGGCTGGCCCTGCTCCTCCCCATGTGCTGCTGCCTGTCCCTCACCTCCACTCCCTCCCGTGGAGCTCTGTGCCTCCTGCTGGTGGAGTCAGCCCCACATACCTGGAGGGCAACGGGCAAGGTCTTAGCCCTCCTCTCCCTCAGGCGAGCCACTCTCACCCCCCGCACAGCCTCAGGTGAATTAATTTTGACTCTGACACTTGCTCTTAAATATTTATTCACTGCATGCTGCCACAGGCAGGCCTGACCCAGACATCTGGGCGCTCTGGGCGCGGCTGCCAGCAGCTCTACCTCTTGAACTCCACCTGTGTGTACACTTTGGTGATGTCGTGGTACCTGCCTTCTGGGGGCTGGTAGTTGGAGATGGGAGGCGTGTAATCTGGTCCTTGTCTCTCAAAGGGGAACAGACCAGGGTCCCGTTTGGTGGCCTCAGCATGGAGCTCCGGGGCTGTGAGCTGCAGCTCCCGCAGAGCTTCCTGCTGGGCCTGGAGCAGGGACCGGACAGCATCCCTCTCCGCCTCATGCTCCCGCTGCTTGTACAGTGACCACTTCTTCAGAAGCAGGGCCCTGCGCTCGCTCTCCTCGAAGGGGAGCTCTGCCGGAGGCCGCTGTCTGGGAACACAAGAAACCAAGGGCATGAGCACTGGCCTCGCTGACCAACCTCACGCCACCCCAGCATCCCCACTGCCAGACACGGAGGGAACTTGGCGACAAGTTGAGGAATGGAATGTTGAATGTGGCAGTAGCAGCCACGGCCGCCAGGAACCAGTGCAGTTTGCTTCACGTGGAGACAAGAAAGAATAGAAGCACCTCCTTGGCTCCAGGTGGGGCTGCCTGTGCTGAGAGGGGTTCTGGGAAGAGCCAGGCACTGTTATGAAAGTGACAGCAAAATCCCAATGAGTCAAGTGCCTACACCAGTCCAGGAGGCCCAGAAAAACACCTGCGTGTCCACTTTCACGGCAAAGTGTTACTTTATAAGTGGTACGCGCTTCTTACAGGAAGGCAGCAACCCCACCAACCCCACACATGACACACCCCAACTATGAGCATCTGCATCTGAGAGCAAGAGGCTATGGCCTCCTACCATCAGGATGGGGCAGCAGCTGCAGTCCCGGGCCCAGGTCGTCCGTCACAGCTGACTCCTCTTGCAGGGGCAGCAGTGCGAACTCGCTCAGGCACCTGCCCTGCTCATCAGCCATTGCTGAGTTTCCCTCTCTCACTCAGCAAGGGCAGCCTGAACCCAAGAAGGCTTTCTCCAGCTCCCACAAGACAATCCAGGAGAAAAGGACTCAGACGAGGCCAAGTCAGCCCGAACCTATGACCCCTTTCCATTACAGGTGCAAACAGAACCCCTGAAGGTGACAGAACTCTGCTGGAGGCCCCCCTCCCAGAGGGAGGGCCCTCACCTTGTTTTGTTCAAGAACTTGACTGGCGTGATGAAGTCCTCAATGGGAATTAGCTCCTGGCTCGCCTTTTCCAGCCGTCGGATCCTCTTTTTCAAGCGGTCCTTTGCTGCCTGGTCCTTTTTGGGATCAACTTTTCTTCTTTCGCAGAGGCTCTGCTCTAAAGGGTAAAGCAAACATGAGATATGTTGCTCTTCTGTCTTGTGAACACGCAGAGACGTGGCGCCCGATGAAGCGCCCCCAAACGCACACTGAACTCTCGACTAGGTAAGGAACTGTGTGGGCCTGAACTCCTAGGCTGAGTGTGGCAGGGAGACCATATCCCGAGGGTCCTGCTGAGAACCCCGTGGGCACAGCCACCCCAGGAAGGGGTGGCGAAACTTCATGGGATGTCAGGATAAATTAAAGGAAGGGCTCATCTTTACAACTGGGGTTCGGGGGCACCTTGAGGTAACACTGAAAAGTGAAAATACCAAACAGATGAATTAGAAGTTTATTATTCAGATCTTGAATGGATTTGTGATTTATAACGTTGATTTGATAAGACTAAGAAAGTCTAGTAAAAATGACTGGCAAGTTCTTACTTTTCAAGATTTTTTAACAAATTTCCCCATCCCCGAGCACTGACAAAAGTTTGATTTACTCTGAGGAACACATCTCCTATGATGATAATAAACTACTGAGAACACATCAAATCCTCCGGTATCAAGACTGAGTTTCATGAATCAAATCCCTAGAAAGAATCCGGCATCCCAGGTGGAAAAACGAATCCTCACACATCGTCCTACCTCTCCAGGGAGCAAGAAATCAAAGTGCTAGGCTCTTTAAAACACACACGAATCCCTCCAAGGCTAGTTTTTCTTTAGGCCGCTTTTACACTTGGTTTTTGTTTTCTGATTACAGGCAGTAACAGAGTTTCGTATGAAATGACAGAAAAAAGCTTTTGCGTGAATGTAACTGAGATCCTTTGCCAACCGAGCGCTGGGCGTCCTGGCGCGTGGGGTCCCCGCGGGCGACTGAGGCGGGGCCCGCAGCCGGGCTTACCTCATGGGCACGAGTCCCCAGAAGGACAGCAGCGAAGCCCGCTGGTGCGCGTCCCTGGTCTGCGCCGGCCACATTCCCAGAAGCCTGGAAGAGACGGCGCATGAATAAGTGCCTGACTCCGCCGCCCGCCCGCTGGGAATGGAGGACTCAGTGATGACGCCCTCGTAACTGCTGGGTCAGGCCGCCAGGCCGATGGGGAGTCTTCACCCGCGTCCCCGCGCGTCCTGGGCGCCCGGCCGGGCCGCACTCACCTCCTGGGCGGGCGCAGAGCGCGCCAGGCCGCCCCCAGCGCCGCGGCCGCCATGGCTCCGGGTCGGCGACGGCGCTTCCGGGCACGCACCCCTCGGTGGCCAGGCCCGCCGTGCGTTGCTCACCAGTCCGGCCGCCGCGCC